AAGACAAATAAGACCATTGTACGTCGAAGGATGGAATTTATAGAATTTTTTTCGTAAGAACTTAAAAAGTAACAACTATTTTTAAATCCCATTTTACATAAATATCTGACACATTCGTAAAAATGTGCCTTTCAATTTGGTGAGCAGTAGGCGCCGAACATAGACAAATTATATTTTTAAGGGGTTAATATGCTTAATAAAAAATCCCCCCTACAATTTTAAGGCTACGCCACTGTTATCTTTAAAAAACCTACTGTGTGAAATCACGACAAACTCGTTACGTAACAGTGACTTTAAAATACTTGTTACTTCTCCCATTCGTACGGAAAAAATTCTATAAATTCTATTCTTCGAAGTACAATAGTGGGATTTATCTCAAAAATTCGGGAAAAGACGCCTCTAGATGAGTGTCAAATATTTTAGGGCACATATTTTTCCTTGTATTTTTTTAAGCCTGTTCACCGCATCAAGTTGGTTGGGAATAGAGGTGAACAAATTACTTCAATGGCTTATAGGCTTTGATTGACTCAAATTATGATGGAACCTTAAATGCAATAATGTAGAAGGGCATCTAAGCAATTTTTTGGCATAGGTTTTATTACAACTGAAGACAGACCCTCGAAGATATCTTAAATCAAAATATAAAATGTTGCTACTTTTTTCAAACCGCGATTGCACAAATACCACCCGTTAAACTCGAAAACTAAGTATGCAGATATGGTTATATCCGTCTATATTAACACAATTTAATGCCCATAGGGCTGCACCAAAAACACTGTTGGCCTGTGTTATAAATAAACTATTTGACTAATTGGATAAAAAAAGTTCCAACATCAAACTTAAAAAACAGGTCCCAAAGAACTGGATGCTGACGAACCTGGCTGATTACACTAGTTTACAAAATAATATTCTTGGAGAGCTCCAAAGCAATTGATGGCAAATTCTGTTAGTGCTCGACCCCCAAATCACGAAAATACCACTAAAAAAAAAATAGCTAAATCAGATATTTAAAAGCTATAAAATTATAAAAATGAATTTAATTTTTAAAAATTCCTTAAAAAATATAAAATTGCTTGCTTTATGACTGTGAGTATTTTTAATAAGTAATATCCATTTGAATAAATCATTCTTATGAAATAACCATACTTTCAAAAAAAGCATGCTTTTTTTCATAAGTACTGCAGTATCAAAAAACGAAAATAAGACTACGAATAAAAAAAGAGGATTGTGCTTGTGATTGTGTGTGATAATGATATTACTTATTACAGTCATAACGCAAGCAATTTTATATTTTTTAAGGAATTTTTAAAAATTAAATTCATTTTTATAATTTTCTAGCTTTTAAATATCTGATTTAGCTATTTTTTGACCCGGCTGCCATCACCACTCATTTTTGTTTACATGTAGCCGCCTAGGATAAAACTAAAATTTGAACTTTGTCAACCGAAAAAAGTTTAAAAATCCGAACTTTAAAAATCCACCATAAATCCAATTTTTTATGAATTTGGGCCATACTCGGCTTGTTTTGTCCGGAAGGATGTAAACTTTAAGTTTGTACCCATTATAATTTTTGAACGGATTTATTTCGAGTTTTTACGATACATACAGCCGACCTACAGAGGACCAAAAAACACATTTTTCATCTTTGTCGAGCTGCTGCGCTGCCATTACTTATCCAATCATATTGATCTGTATGGCAAAGCTAAGCTCTGATATATTGACTTTTTAATGAAACAAAAACTGGCCCAATTGGGTGGATATTTGCGGAGATATAGGAAGAAATTCGAAAAAGTCCGATATTTAACATTTTGAACTTTAAAACATCTTTAAACAAGAAAGGAAGCTACCTTCGGCCAGCCGAAGCTTATATACCCTTGCAGATAAAGTAATACTCACTCGGTGCAGTTCCAGGGATTCCAGATTCAGTGTTCCTATTTTTGAATTTTGTTTTTAAGTAGTCAAGAATTAAAACGCCTACTTCCTACAAATTAACAAGAATTTTCTTATATATGTTTGAATATTCCTATGGGAGCCTTAAGATATAGTGGTCCGATCCGGCTTGCTCCGACATATGTACTACCTGCAATAGAAAGAAGACTTTCGGGAAAGTTTCATCGCGATAGCTTTAAAACTGAGAGACTAGTTCGCATAGAAACGGACAGACGGACAGACAGACAGACGGACAGACGGACAGACGGACATGGCTAGATAGACTCGGCTATTGGTGCTGATCAAGAATATATATACTTTATGTGGTCGGAAACGTCTCCTTCACTGCGTTGCAAACATCTGACTGAAATTATAATACCCTCTACAAGGGTATAAAAAAAAACTGTGCCATCGAAAAAAAAATTACTGTTATTTTCGTGATTTGGGGGTCGAACACTAACAGAATTTGCCATCAATTGCCTTGGAGCAGTTTGGCTGTAAACTAGTGTTATGCATCTCTTTTCATCGCGAGAAAACGACTCCAGGCGCCTCTTTCTTTGAGGACCTCTGTTTTGATTCATTTTTGAAAGTTTCGTTTCACAACTTCGCAGTCAAAATACATGAATTTGTTTATTTCATCTTTCAAAAACATTCGTTCCGCAAGTTCTTTATATTTATACTAAAAAATTTTTGTCGTGAAATTTTCAATTTTGTATAGGAATTTTCATTTCGTTGCCTTTTTGATTGAGGTAGGTACTAGGCTTTAACAAAAAATGGTTAAACTTACGAATTTCAACTTAAGGCTTAGTACTCAACCCAACAAAAAGTCGTCCAAAACAAAAAACTTCATATGAAAAACAACGTCAACAAATTTTGTTTCATATGAAGTTTTTGTTTTGGACGACTTTTTGTTGGGTTGAGTACTAGCCCTAAGGGGTTATATACCTTATTTTAAAAAAAAAAACAAAAATTTTTATACCCTTGTAGAGGGTATTATAATTTCAGTCAGATGTTTGCAACGCAGTGAAGGAGACGTTTCCGACCACATAAAGTATATATATTCTTGATCAGCACCAACAGCCGAGTCTATCTAGCCATGTCCGTCTGTCCGTCTGTCCGTCTGTCCGTCTGTCCGTCTGTCTGTCTGTTCGTCTGTCCGCCTGTCCGTTTCTATGCGAACTAGTCTCTCAGTTTTAAAGCTTTCGCGATGAAACTTTGCCGAAAGTCTTCTTTCTATTGCAGGTAGTACATATGTCGGAGCGAGCCAGATCGGACCACTATATCTTAAGGCTTCTATAGGAATATTCAAACAAATATAAGAAAATTCATTGTAACTTTGTAGAAGGTAGGCGTTTTGATTCTTGACTACTTAAAAACAAAATTGAAATAGAAACGCTGAATCTGGAATCCCTGGAATTGCACCGAGTGAGCATTACTTTATCTGCAAGGGTATATAAGCTTCGGCTGGCCGAAGGTAGCTTCCTTTCTTGTTTTTTTTGAATCCTAAAGTATATCTCCTAGAGAACATCTTCCCAAATTTTCATAGAGATCCGAATAATATTTCGATAGGAAAACAGCGTTTTGACGCGCTCGACTTCAATAGTTGCATATACTCAACGTACAACTTTGAATGCGATTATCTCAAAAGTCGTGTTTTTCCAAAAGTGCCTTCGCTGTAACCACGATTGCACAAGAACTATTTGATCGATCTTCTTCAATTTTTTTTTTAATTATTTGTAATGATTGTGCCGAGTTCGTGAACGATTCAGTTTTTTTGCGCCAATTTTGATTTCGCAGAACAGAATTTTTTTAATAAAAGTTTTTAGAACTCAAAAAATCAACTTTTTGGAAAAATTTTTACTGTGTGCAGAAAAACCAAATATGCTTGAAAATAATCGTTCACGAATTGGAAAAAATACTATACTAATAAAAATTGTTTGGTTTTTTGATATCAGTTGACCTGCTGGACTTCCATCGTGGACACCGCAAGCCGCTATAAAAAAGGGTTCCGAAAAAATTGCCATAACTTCGTAAATTATTCATATTTTTTCAAGAACAAACGCTTGTTGTTTCGATAAAAACATGTACTATCAATAAATAATAACTTCAGTGTCATAAAACAATTGCTACACACCTGAAAAAAAATCCAAAGTTCCCCCAATTTTTTCGCTCAAAAAAGGTATATAACCTCTTAAAGTAGGTTCAGACAGTGGGCACTTTCATTACTAAAATTTCTGTAAAAGCAGCATGATGATCGAAGCATTACTTTTTGAGACACACGATCCGCAGCTGAGGAAAACATGGTTTCGAGAAGAACGGATTCAAAGTAATGAAATATATCTACTACCCACCTTGTGCCGTCATCCTGGCATATGTTCCAAAATTGCTCGAATTTCTTTGCAAAACTTATAAAAAACATTCTCAAAGAGTTATTCTATCAATTTAAATAATAAAAAACAAGAAAGGAAGCTACCTTCGGCCAGCCGAAGCTTATATATATACCCTATATACCCTATATATAGCCTTGCAGATAAAGTAATGCTCACTCTGTGCAGTTCCAGGGATTCCAGATTCAGCGTTTCTATTTTTGAATTTTGTTTTTAAAGAGTCAAGAATTAAAACGCCTACTTCCTACAAAGTAACAATGAATTTTCTTATATATCTTTGAATATTACTATGGGAGCCTTAAGATATAGTGGTCCGATTCGGCTCGCTCCGACATATGTACTACCTGCAATAGAAAGAAGACTTTCGGGAAAGTTTCATCGCGATATCTTTAAAACTGAGAGACTAGTTCGCATAGAAAAGGTCAGACGGACAGACGGACAGACGGACATGGCTAGATCGGCTCGTCTAGTGATGCTGATCAAGAATATATATACTTTATGTGGTCGGAAACGTCTCCTTCACTGCGTTGCAAACATCTGACTGAAATTATAATACCCTCTACAAGGGTATAAAAATGAATTTTTTGTTTTCTATATGTATGTCTCCCTTAAAACAATCAAATAAGATACACTCGGAGATTTATATGAGTAAAAAAGTAAAAATTAAAATAAATGGTTTGATTGTTTCAATAATTTTTATTTGGCTTCTATTGTAAGACTTATAATTAAATTATTTGTAAGTACAAATCTCTCTGTCTCCAGTGCCTCGACAATAATGACAGTTTCTCGAATCTGTCTGTCAACGTAGGCGAACCTATTACTTTATCTTGATACTACATGTTCATATGCACTATTGTATGGACTGCCCTCGCTAAACTAAATTCATCTCTAACTATTTAATTTGGGTAATAAATATTAGATACATATATAAAAATATGTATAAACATAGATCCAAAAAAAACAAAATGACCTAAAACTTTCGAAAAAATACCTAAATTTTAAATTTAAATTTAAAAATTACCAAACGATGGGAGTTTTATATAAATTTTAGGAAAAATTACCTATAAATATGGTTAAGGATATGTATCCCTCAGATACTTGATCCTTATTTAGAATGTATATCGTACAATCAACAATGAGCTAATTTTTACTAAAATTTAGGTAATTTCAGAAACTTTTAGGTAATTTTGATTTCTGAGAGTATATGAATATCATTATAAGTAGATGCACGCACATTATGTACATACATAATGTCGTAAGCTCTTTAAATAATAATAATAATAGTTATAATATATTAACAGTATCCGTGTAAGTATACATATAAAATTCCAGTACATATTTACAAATTAACGAAAGATCTACAGAAACAACATCGGAGGCAAGAACTAGCCGTGAGGTGCTGACAATGGCCAATAAGCAACTACAAAAATACATAACTTATGCGCAATTGAACAGACAGGAAGCTTGTCAATATTATCTACGCATACGACTTATTCCATCGAATTTTTGAATGCCAAGCTTGTTTTTCGATTTTATTTCATTCCAACGAGTCAGTACCATTCAAGAATTATCCATGCCGGATCTTCACACAATCTTGGTCCGGAATCTCGGATAGGATAAACGAAGTGACAACAGGGATATGGTCGTACGATGTAAAAGTTTATTGCAGCGCCATGTTCGTTTGCCCCTATCATTCTATTTCTGCTTTCCCTGAGCATCCGTTAGTCCAGGTTAAGTGGGGGGGTACTGTTTGGGCCGCCTAATATGAAGGACGTAGGACTGTGCACCGAAATGCTGTCGAGGTCTAGAGCGCCGTCGCCCTTTTCCAGCATACCGCTGCCATCCTGCTTCATCATCATGCGGCGCCATTTGGCCCTAGCATTTTGAAACCAGACCTATACAGAGAAAAATAATAGCCAGTGCACGACTTTCATCAGCTGGGATGCTTGGACTAGATTAGTTGGGCTTACCCACCTGTAGGACTCTCTTTGGTAAACCCGTTTTCTGCGACAACTGCTTCAGATCCTTGGCGTCGGGATTGTGATTGATAGCGAAGTAGGACTTCATGGTACGCAGTTGGTGATGTTTAAACGAAGTCCGCATTCGCTTTGTCCGCGACGAGGAGCTCAAGTGCGAGCCACGGCCAAAGTCCACGTACTCCGTGTTGAGATCTGGAATCAAACCAAAGAGCTTGTAGTTTCTTGATTTTACAGCACCTTTCGAGTTTTATGAGGCAGCCACATAAAAGCTGCTGCTGACGCAGCTCTAACGGCGCCAGTATCAAGCTTTCGAGACAGTTCCAGATGCGATGTGCTGTGGCCATAAAAAGCCCGACCGCATGTTGCCGTTTTTATGGCTGGCAACCTGATCGCGAAAAACTTGGAATTTACAACCTACCTATGCTTGCGGTGAACGCCTCCATGTCCTTGGGCTTGCGCTTGCGTGGCCTGCCCTTTTGACGAGCAGGCTGCGGCAGTCCGGTAATGACGTGGGACGCGGGCACAAATATGCCCGTAGGAACAATGCTCCGACTAGGGTCCGAGTGCGGGCTCGAGGAGTCGTTGTGCGGCGATCCGTACTGGGCGCTGTACGGGTACGTGGCGCTCATGCTGGACGATGCGGCGTCACTCTCCCTCGCTATACTGTAGTGGGTCCTGCAGGTAATCTTTAGTAGTGGCAAATTGAGTACGTTTTAGGGGCGTCTTACCTGCAGTATATGAGCGCATCGATGATACCGTACTGATCTCCCTTTGTCAGGGGCGTATGGCAGACGGTGCAGCAAAAGCAGTTGAGGTGAAATACAAGATTCCGGGCGCGCATAACCAGCTCGTTGGAGCTAATCGAAGCCAGGCAGCGGGAGCAGCGGCGAGTACCAAAAAAACTGCGAACGATAATGTGGATTGACTACTATCATTTAAATTATACGAATATTTGCAAGGAAACAGCATAACCGAGCCTACTGCAAGACCACAAAGCATGCGCAATTATGTGGCGTGATGGTTAAGAAATTGAGGCCTAAACGCATGGGGCGCTTCTGTGGAAGTCTCCCCCACAGAACCAGTAATCATATGTTTGACAGGAAGCTGCGCTCGATAATAAAGACTCTCCGACGGACCAGATCTAGAGAGCAAGCCCAATGACTTGCCCATAAACGCCTACTCTTCGTAATCTTCCTAGTCATCCCGCGATGATGACGGTCTGCACCTTCGACTTGGTGCTGCTTCGTTTCATCGCTGGCTACTGTTTTCACTTTTGCAAATGACAGATCAAAGATTACCAGCATCCGTCCGTAATCACTAGGGAGTCGCTGGTTTCGTGCCAGAAATGAGCCAGCAAGCCAGCATCTTGGATGGAAACCCGGGGATCGGAGAAAAAGAAGACCAACATCAAATGCACGAGACACGCGATTTCTTTGACATTAATCAAAATAATTGGCGCATTTCGTTTCAGATTCAACGACGCTCAACAGACTCATTCTCACATTTTGCAGTACTGGCGTGGATCCTTCGAGATATAAGCGGACAAATCAAGCTAACAGAAAACACCAACCCAATTTCAATTCCATACAAATTTATCATATTCATACGAAGAACATTTCGAAATGCATATTCATCTCATTCCCATTTCCATTCCTGCCCCTTTCCCGTTCCGCATTTATGTTTGCATTTTGTTGAAAATTATTTGGGATGTGACACCGAGATTTTTGTCACATCCCCTTGTTGCACATCTTGTCGCTACACGTGTCGGTGCGGCTGTGGTTTTCTGCCGATCTTTCAGTCGAGCTCCGTCTTTAGACAAGCCCTTCAGATGTATATATCTACATATGTATATATGTTCGTCTGTACGAGTTTGTACATACCTTCTGCTGCTGCGCGGTAAATCCCATAAATAATATTAAACATGTATTCTGAGGACGGCGACGCGGTCACAGCTACCAACTCATAAAACTGTCCCAGACCGCAACTTCAGTGAAGTTCAGTTCATTTCGAGCCTCTTCCACTGCTCTGACACGCCCCTTCTTCAGGAAGCGACCAAGAGAAGGGGAGAAAAATGAATTATGATTATTGCCATGTAAAATAGCAGGAGAAATGTCAAAGTGACAACGTATAATATATGATTATGTTTTCGAGCTCTCGAAATCTGATACTTTCACATACATTCTGGATTCTCTTGTTTTTGCTCTCTTCGTGCTTATCGAAATGCCTTCCAGTTTGTGACGTGATCTGATTCCAATCCTCCTATTTACTTTGATTCCAATATTTGCTCTTAAACTTTTATAGAATGGTCCGATTTGGAAAATTTTTCGATGATGAACGGTGATTCCTTAAGGGGTGAGATACATATAGAACTGCAATTCTTTCATGTTTTTCTTGCTTTTTATACCCGTTACTCGTAGAGTAAAAGGGTATATTGTATTCGTACAAAAGTATGTAACAGCTAGAAGGAAGCATTTCCGACCCTATAAAGTATATGTATTCTTAATCAGGGTCAGTAGCCGAGTCGATATAGCCATGTCTGTCTGTCCACCCGTATGTATGAACGCTGAGATCTCGGAAACTATAAAAGCTAGAAGATTGGCGTTTTGCATGCAGATTCTAGGAGTTCCTATGCAGCTGAAGTTTGTTTCAAAAAGGTGCCACGCCCCCTCTAACGCCCACAATAGCTTATATACGATTTTAAAAGTTTAAATATTTTGGAAAAGTAAAAATGCAGTTTTATTGCGTTTATTAATACTTACCGAAATGTAGAAGAAATTTTTTAAATCGGACCATTCGTCAAAAAGTTACGGCGGATCAAAGTTTTTATCTCTAACTCCTTCGCACTCTCTTAAGCTGAGTAACGGGTATCTGATAGTCGGGGCACCCGACTATAGCGTTCTCTCTTGTTTTAGCATAGCTTCTAAAGTTTTTGTCCGATTGACTTAAGACTTTTTTGTATAATCTGTGAATTTTGTGAATTAAATAAACTTTCTAATATTTTCTCATTCGGACCGCCCTAGCAAACTATTTCAGCCTTTTTCCCTTCACAGGCATTTTCTATTGCAGCGAATGCAGTGCCGAATGAGAAAATATTAGAAAGTCTATTTAATGACAAGTGTAATAATTTTTCGTCACAAATGTTGATATCAGAACTTTTGTATGTTGAAGGTGCGATCGTCACTAGATTTTTACCTCGTTAAGAGGTGTTTTTATTTGATATCAGAAGTTTTTGTTTGTTTACTTTTGCTCTCATAGGTGCTAATATAAACATTTAAATTTAAATTGGGCATAAATCATAGTTTTTAAACTATTGTATTTTAACGAATTAAGTTAAAAAGGCGTTGAAGTATTTCAAAATACCTTTTAAACGAGGTATAGCACATGTCTGTATCTTTAGTAGTGTAGAACTTACAAACTTACGAAATGTAGCTATTTTTAGCTTTTTCCGCTAAAGTAGCGGCTTTTTCAAAAAGTCGTAGAACAAAAGATTCCTATACGGAACTCTTAAGTGCAAATTAACTGATTCCATGACCCTAAAATACAGTTCGGATACCCTCACACAAAATTCAATACTCAGGGAGCGTTAGTAGTTCAAGCTTGCAAAAGTGGCTATTTTCGTAGAAAAATAACTTTTAAACGTGACTTTTTACAGTAATGTGTTATATACCAAAATTAAAAGAATCTCAAGGGCTATACAGTTAAAAGTTTTAAAGAAAATCGTTAGAGCCGCTTTTTAAAAAAATAAAAAAAAGCTAAAAGAAAAGTTTTAAAAAATTGTCTTTTGTTCATATTTTTTTAACTATTACATTTACACAAATTGCATATAGAAGGAGTTTATAGCATTTAGAAATACCTTTCAAACGAGAAGCGCCAGTCTGTAGCTTTAGTAGTATAGAAGTTACGGCTTTCCGAATTTTAGCTATTTATAGCTGTTTTCCCGCTAAACTAGCGAGTTTTTCCAAAAGTGGTAGAACAAAAGTTTTTTATATCGATGTGATGAACCTCATATCAAATTTTCAAAACTTAAAAAACATGTTTTGGACAAACTGACAAACAGAATTAAATTTTCATTTTGGGAAGACGTAGAAAATCTTATTTTGGCTATAACTTCGTCGGATTTTATCATATGACCCCTCATTCGACGGGTATTTTCAATAGGAACACAATTAAAAGTCCAAATTTCAAAATTTGCACTTTTTCACTTTCACCGCTCTCTCTCCCAGGCCAATTGATTTTCTTAAAGTCTTGGTATGCAATCCTTTAATTTTTTGCAATACCTTTCGATTGGTGTATTACTCATTACGATCGGACTACCACAGCAGATTTTCAATTTTGCGGCTATATAATAGTAGTTCGCACACTCTCCTGGTGCGCTTCGTCACTACATGGACTGCCGTCCATAGTGATAGCTGCCATAGGAACGATCGGAAAATTAATGGGAAAGCAATAGGAAATAAATTGTAGCTTCTTTGGTTTTTATTGTATTCTCTTCTACTCTAGGGCATGACTCTTTTTAAATATTTCCGAATTTCAATTTTAATTTGATCAAAATCGGACGACTATGTCATATGCTGCAGTAGGAATGATCGGAAAAGTAATGGGAAATTAATTGCAAACAAATTATAGCTCCGTTGGTTTGTATTGTATTCTCTTCTACTCTATAATATGATTTTTTTTAATATTTCCAAATTTTGAATTAAATTAAACAAAATTCGGATATTATATAGCTGCCATAGGGAAGGATAAAAAAAAAATTGTCAAAAAAATACGAAATTTAAAATTTTTGCGATTTGTAAGTTAATAGGAATGATCTGCAAGGGTATATAAGCTTCGGCCGAAGCAAGCTTCCTTTCTTGTTTTTGACTATGTTTTCTAGAATTTGTTTCTCCTTTAAAAAAATCCTAAAATTATTCTAACTATGGGGTTTGAAAGATAAAGAGTGTATCTTTTAAAAAACTTTAACATAAAAAAAACCATGAATCCCTTTGCCTCCGAGACCTCCGGAAAGTTGGCCAATTTCAGCATTTTTCGAACTTTGAGGTCCTTGTGCTAAGAATTCTTGGATCGGGGAACTTTTTGGAAAACGCAGTTTAACTTGGGAATTTAAATTTGAGGTAAATTTGAGATGTTGCATAGTGTAATTAAAAAAACTAGTGTGGCCGGATTAATATGGCTATAAACCAATACTTTCGATATCACAGAAGAACACCTCTTAACAAAGTAAAAAACTAGTTACATACAAAGGTCTAATATCACCTTATGTGTCGGAAAATTATTATAAAATCGACTAAAAACACTTTCTTAAATTTTCTTATAATTATATCTTTTTGAAGGCGTGACCCACTTGCTACTCCAGATTACCAAATGCAAATGACTATGATCCGACAGTACGGGGTCTAAGAATAGTCTCGTAGGTATCAAACGGTATTTGCCAAGTCTCGGCATTAAATACAAAAATAGACTGAAATCAATGAGCAGCTTAGATGCCTTACTGCATCGTGACCAAGGGCAGCGACGCTCCACTCGAACCACTAACCGCCACTTGATGACTGAAACCTTAGGTTAAAAGCCATGCTGAAACTCCGGGACACGCACAGGGCTTGCTGAGCTCTGTTTAGAGGGCAAGTGAGCTGCGCTGTGCACACTGAAGTGCATACCGACGTGTGGCCCGGCTGGACGCTGCAATAACACCGGAATTGTGAATGGAAAAGGGCAGGGGAAAGCAGGGGGCTTACGTTTTGTAACGTGAGAGTATTTGTAACGCGTTGAGGGATTGAAGGATGAGGTTTCAAGAGTCACCCGCTGGGATCTGCTCTTCCTATTACACGTGTATAAGTTCACCAGGAACAACAATATTCCCAGATCTGCCACTCCACCACCGATAGCAGTGGTTTCCCTTTCC